TGGCACAGGATAGAGCAGGGTTTAGGGCTGTTGTACATAGGGTCACTATGAGTCACAAACGACTCGATGGCACATAACAACAACAACATGGATCAGAATGACTGGTAACAGTCTTTAATTCTTTAAAAGGAGTTATAGTTAAAAATTATCCCTACTCAATTGGTAAAACTTCTGAAGCAGTAAATCAGGAAGAATGTGTTCAAGCAATAGTGTTGGTACACTACATCCTGGTTGTAACGCATTTATTAGGTAAGCCATTTAACTGTTCTGAGAATCTGCATTCTCATGTGAAAATTGTTCAATATGTTGTTCAATATGTTTCTCTTCTTGCAAGGCTCTAAGGAAGCAATTACTGTGAGAGATTGTGTAGTATGAGTTGCCTAGTGAGTATAAGACATTATTATTCTTATGGACTTGGGATAGTTATAAAGCAAGGTCTGTACTCATGTTTTAAAATCTTCACTCTACAACAGATGGGATTTGGAGAGTTTCAGTTTTACTTGTTGTGTATTGCCTGAACCCTACATTAAAAAAAAAAAGATTTGAATGTCATTTGCACAGCAATTATTGATTCAGTTAATGTTACTTTTAAAAGACTCTTAAAACTCTAGTCTATATTTAAGGTAATACTATAATTGGGAAGAATTAGTTTGTATGTATTATTACCACTCTATCTCCAGAGTTCATTATAATAATTATTAACAAGCATAGCCTAAATTAATGCCAAGTTTGGCAGCTGTTCAGGCATCTTTTACTAAATTTATTTCTGTAAGCTCAAAAGTGAGATTGTACACTCAGACTCTGAGACATTAAGTTAATGATATAAAGGTATTAGAGCTTTATTTTCAGATATGGTAAGTACCTGGGACCAGCATAATGAAAACTCACACACTATCACACAGATAATTTCTAAACAGCCCTTAAAAGGACCTATCTTCATAGAAATACTGAAGGAGTGCTGTTAGCGTTATAATTAACAGAGTAAAAAGAATGAATGAAGGTGAAAATACAAATGCCATTTAAAAATCAGAAATAATGGAAACAATTCAGTTGGAGCAAAATATACCATTAAAAGTAGTTGACGTCATTCAGGAACACATTAAGTACAGTCATGTATTTATTGTTTCTAAAAGAAAAGCATAAAATACATTTCATTCTTCTAGGTAAGCAGAAAAGAAATTTTATTTTCTGTTTCAGAGATATTTATATCATAAACATGAATGTTTTAAAAGTTTTCATTTAACATTTCTTTCTCATGTACAGAGCCTTCTGTAGACTCCATTCATTCCACTACTGTTTTGTATTGTTAGGTTGACTGTGGGGAGTTCCGAGACCCCAAAGTCTACTGTACTCGGGAATCCAGCCCCCACTGTGGCTCTGATGGTCAGACGTATGGCAACAAATGTGCCTTCTGTAAGGCAGTGGCGTAAGTATCAGATTCACTAAATCTGTATTTTGAAAATACAAATACTCAGCATAAAAACTAAGATGCTTTTCTTAAAGTACAATAGAAGTGTCTACTTATAAATCTCACAGAGGCTGAAGTAACTGTCTTCAGATAAATAAGTTGAAAGTAAACTTATCTAAACCAAACAGATTTAAATAACAAACTTGAAAACCTAATCTTTGTTACAATTTTATTTTTATTCATTTTAGGATAATTTAAAAAATGATAGTTAAGAATTTTAACACATTTTGTTTGCTCCATTTTTCACTAATTGAAATATTTTATCCAATTATGTTTGTTTTTCTCATCACAACGAACTTAAAAAATAGAAGGAAAAAAATCTTTTTTTTTTTCTATAATTATATTTTATTAATTTTCATAAACATTTATTCCCATTTTGGGCTTCCACTCATTCATTGTTGCACTATTCTCTCTACCCTCCTCCCAGTTTGTTCTTGTCCAAATGCCACAGTGCTTGTCAAAGCCAGTTCTGATTAATCTTCTTTGTCAGTGTATCCTTTGCCATTCCCTATCACTCCTCCCTGAGAGAGACTTCACCCTGAGTCATAAGGAAAAGGGGACGGCGTATTCTCTTAGCTACTTCCTTCTGAAAAGGGACGCTGTGGGTTTCAGGGTGAAGATCTTCAATAAGAGTGCATCTGAATTCCAAAATCAATCTCCATAATAGTCTATGTGTTTCCTACTGCCAAAGGGGCCCTTTAGAGTAGTGGGAAAAAAATCTTAAAATTATAGCGAAATTAAAAAAAAATCTATCAGAAGTAGAAGACTACCAAAAAAAGTATCTTACAGTAGTATTTTATTAAGGCATCAATTAATATTCACTGCTTTTAACATGATGAGGAGGACATTTTAACAGAGTGGGGAAGTAGCACTGTGAACCGAAAGCCAGATGTTTCAATTCCACCAGCTACTTCTTGGGAGAAAGTTGGGCAATCTCCTCTCTGGAAATGTACAGCTTCTGAAAACTCCCTATAGGGTCAGCTGTGAGTTAGTTCTGACTCAAAGGCAACAAGTGATTTAAATTTCAAAGGTAGTTTAATGAAAGAATTCTATTGATTATCAATATTAGTTATGATCTTATTTTTAAGAAGTAGAACAGCCTAAAGAACTTAGCGAATATATTATGAGCTTCCCGTTGGTAAAAAATCTCACTGCTGTTTAAATTATAATGGAGAAGATTGCCCATCTCTCTCTACCGGAGAGCCTTGATGGACTAGACTACCAGAGAAGTTTAGTATAATCCATTTTTTCCTATCAGTGCTGTGTCTATATTTATAAACTCAAGCTGTGCTCTCTGTGGAGTCAGAACTGACTCAGCTGTCTCTAGAGCAGGTTTTCAGAGGCTGACAATCTCAGGAGAGGAAAGCACCCATCTTTCTGCCATTGAACAGCTGGTGGCTTTGAACCATCATTCATTAGGTTGGCCTACCCATAGGCCACCAGAGTTCATGTTTATAAATATTTCATTAATTAAGCAAGCGTTGAGCCTTCTAGAAGAGCAAGAAAAATATAGTTTTTGTTCAAACTAAGTAACAATTATCTCATTTCCTCAACTGGCATTTTCCCCCTTATACTTAAGTTTCTTCTATTAATGTCTTAAGTTTCTTCTATTACTGTCTTAATTGATCAGAATTTTCATTCAAATTTTCCAAGCAGAGAGATCCTATAATTCCCTAGCAACAATCACAGAACATAAAACGCAGAATGAAATAAATGAATAGTGAATTAATACCCAATATGTGCATGCCTATATTTATATAATTTGGAAGCCGGAGTGGTATCCACTTCCTAAACAACTTGCCTCAAGAAACTGCGTAGTTGTAGAGGGGATTCAGGCCTTTTGTTCACAGGATCACTACGAGTCATGCTTGACCTGAAGGCAATCAACAACATATTTCTATAAAGCCATCTCAGTAATATGAAACTTTTGTTAGAAGAAGGACAATAGAACAAGATGAGACCTGAATTAATGAACATGTATTACCAAGAGACACTTAATGCAAAATCAGCTATAAAATGCCAAATGTCTGGTTATTGGTTTATTTTCTTATAATTTTAGTCAAGGATAAACTATAATATTATAGGGTCTCTTTTTATACCATAGTAACTGTCATGATGGGCTTTAACTTGACAGAAATTATGAGAATAGTGTAGAATAGGGTAAGACCCAAATCTCTTGTTACGGGGTTGATTTGAGTCATAGTTGACTCCATGTCCCCTAACAACAACAACAACAACAACAACAACAACATATAGTCTCTCTTTTCCTATTTAACCTAAAATTTCTATCATTTTCATCTGTATATAAATTCATATCAGCACATTGAGTACATTTAATTAATCTCTAAAGTGTAGAGAATAATCATTTTTGGTTTTAACCTTTCTGGTGAACTGTTGTGGTTAGGAGCCACTGAGTCAACCATGACTCATAACAACTCTGTTGTTATTGTTGCTGTGTACCGTAGAGTTGGAACTTAACCATAGCTGACACTTCAGTGGGTTTTCAGAAACAGTTAATTTCAAAGGAAGAGATTGCCCATCTTTTTCCCTAAGAGCAACTGGTGACCTCAAACCTCATACCTTTGAGATTACATCACAGTTTCTTTCCACTAGGCCACTAGAACTTCCTATAACAGCTCTAGGAACAACAAATAGAAAACTTGCCCTATCCTGCACAATCTTCATGATTTCCTCCATACTTAAGACTATTGTTACAGTCACTCTGTCAATTCATCTCATTGAGGATTTTCTTCTATTTAATTGACATTCTGCCTTTACCAGCATGATGCAATATTTTTCACTGAAAGCTAATTTTTCTTTCTTTTTTTTTCTAGGAAAAGTGGTGGGAAAATTAACCTAAAGCATTTGGGGAAATGCTGAAATTGTAGAAGATGTGCCACGAAGATAGCCATCTCTTTCATCCTTTTTGGTTCACTTCTACTTTTATTTTCTCTGTTGGATCTCATAGTTACAAAAGGCATACCTTCTATGCTGCCTGGGTTTTTAGAAGAATGATATGTGTTTATTTCCCTTGATTCACTTGTTAATAAAATAAATTCTTTGCAAATATTGAATGTATGTTTAAAGAGATATAAAGAAAGATAAAGATACTACATGAAGTGATTTATCTGGATTAAAATCTGAATTGAGAACTGCTTTCCTGGTCAAATTCAACCATGCAATCTCTGTGGGTTTCGAAGGAGATTCTTTTATCTCTCAATATCTCTGTAATAATAAAGAATTTTGTAAACATGATCATGCATGAAACTTTCAGTTATTTAAGAATATCAATTATTTTAATCTTTGATCATATAATATCAGTTATTTCTGAATTCAATAAGAATATTTTTCTTATATATTAAATATAGGGGGGGGAGTTAAAAAGAGCTTGAAGTAGTAGATGTAGAAGGTCAGGGACTGCAGTCTTCAGCATGGATTGTATTTTGCCCTAAAGAAAACAAAGTTTGTAACAACTGTGCCTATTGACAGCATCATGATAGATGGAGAAAAAATTGAGGTTGTTAACACTTGAATCTTACTTGGATCCGCAATCAGTGTTCTTGGTACCAGCAGTCAGGAAATCAAAAGACAGTTGCTTTAGCAAAGTCAGCTGTCAGGGACCTCCAGTCTAGAGACTAAAGTATGACTGATCCAGGCCATGGTCTTCTCAACTTCTTGCTATACGTCTGAGAGTTGGACAATGAATAAGAATGACAGAAAAATGAATGCTTTTACACTTATAGTGTGGGAGAAGAGTATTGAGGATACCATGGACTTCCAAAAGAACAAACAAGTCTGTCCTGGAGAGGGCAAAACCAAGTTGCTCTGATTAGAGGCCAGGATTTTGAAGCTGTTTTACATACTTTGGACATGTTCCCAGGGGAGCCCAGTTTTTGGAGCGGGACATCATGCTTAGAAGGGTGGAGGGTCATCTCAGAAGAGGAAGACCTTGGTTGAGATAAAGTGACTAGGGATATAGGGTCAAGTGTGTCAGAAGTGATGAGGTTGGCTCACAACAGGACAGGGTTCAGAGTATTGTTCATAGGGTTGCAGTGAGTCATAATAGACTCGATGGCACAGTATCCCCATGGAAAGCTAAGATTCTAACCACTGGGCTAATTGGCAGTACCATGATGGATGAAGAAGAGCTTGAGATTGTTAACAGTTACAGCTTGCTCAGTTCCACAATCAACATCCTTGGCACCAGCAGTCAGCAAATCAAAACACTAATTGCATTGGGAAAGTCTGCCATCAGAAACGTCTCAAAAGGGAAGAGCCATGACATCAGTCGAAAAACTAAGGTGTGCCTGATCCAGTCTTTGGTCTTCACAATTATTTGTTATGCATCAGAGGGTTGGACAATGACTAAGGCTGTCTTTGAGTTGTGGTGCTAGAGAAGAGTGTTAAGCATTCCATGGACCACCAACAGAACAAACAGGTTTGTCCGGAGAGGGTGAAACCAGGCTGTTCCTTAGAGACAAAGATTTTGAAGCTCCATCTGACATACATTGGGCATGTTACCAAGAGAAGGGTTGAGGGACAGGACAAGAGAAGACCCGGAATAAAATGGTTAGCACAGTAACTGGGGCAATAGGGGTAGGTGTGTCAGAGATGATGAGACTGGCACAGGATACGGCATGGTTCAGAAGGATTGTGCATAGGTTCACTATTCACAGGGGACAGGACAGCACATAACAACAACAGTATCTCCTTTGCTCCTCACCTTTGCTTCGGAGTAAATTTTGGTGTTTTGGTCTTATACCGAGAGCTTTTAAATAGAACAACAATCTTATGGGCAGTCTCTTTCATTTTGTGTACCAGTCCACTGTTTGAAAGATGATCTAGGTTTTATAAGTATCTCACAGAATAGTTTCATGGAGTTCTCTATTACTGCTGTCCCAGTCAGTTTGTACATGTGTATTTAATAAGACTATAAATTCTGCTTTCTTTTGTCTCCCATTGTCTCCTCTACAATCTATTGTAAATCCAGTCAGAGCAGTCAAGTGTGGCACCAGGTAGACCTTCTAGACTTAGAATAGGTGTTGCCACATGTAGACTTGTTTCCTGTCTGATCTTTTCATTAGTTGCCTTTTGCTCCTAATGAGTAGAGACTCAGCTGTGTTTATGTCGTTATTCTCAAGCTTTTAATAACTTGGATGCCACTATATTCATTACAATTCAGATCATGACTTTTTGTGAACTATGCTATGCCAATTGACTAAGTTGTCCCATGAAACTATAATCTTAAGTTTTCAAATCCAGAAAATCAATCTTGGAAGGTGTCTATATGCAAAGAGAACTCACATTTGTGTTTTCAATGAATTTATGTGCCTATGTCTACATACTTTGGACATTGGAGAGGGACGTCATGCTTGGGAGGGTGGAGGGACAGCACAGGAGGGGAAGGCCCTCTACGAGGTGGATTGATTCAGTGACTGGGATAATCAGGATGGGTGTATCAGAGACAGTGCAATTGGTACAGGACAGAGCAGAGTTTAAGGCTGTTGTACATAGAGTCACTATGAGTCGCAAAGCGACTCGACGGCACATAACAACAACAACAAACATGCCCACATACTGTGTATTTCCAAGTACCTGCAAATTGTCTAAAAGGAGTAGGTGTTACTCAGTGGTTAAGCATTCTACTACTAATGGTAATTTTGCCTATTCAAATTTGCCAAATGCTCACTGATACAAAGATGTGGCTTTCTGCTTCCATGAATATACATAGCATTGGAAACCTTAAGGAGCAGTTTGACCCTGGAATTTGACTCAGTGGCTAGAGGTTACCTTTATAGATACCTCTGTGTCCTGCTTTAGCTCTGGTGGCCCTAGTGGTGAAAAGACACACTGCAATCCTGGAGCTACTCAATTTGAGTCCAACAGAGACTGGGAAGGACAGGAATAGACAATCTCCTCCAGTTGATTTACTGCCTCTGAAAATCCACTGGAAGGTCAGCTGTGGTTCCAACTCAACAGTACACAACAACAACAACATGCATCCTCATCTTTCTACACCTCAGTACCCTTATTCTAATCCATGTGTGCTCAAATATGCATTCATTTTTACATTGGTTGTGCTGTGCTCACTACATCCCCAAACACTGCTTCATTTGCCATTGAGAAACAAAGACAACAAACAAGGCCCTAAAGTCTAAAAAATATTTTCTCTTTCTCTACTCTTCTTGCTAACCACCAGTGATCACTGGTCTTTCTCCACTTGTATTCTTTTTTTCTTTTAACATTAATGACAAATTTGTTAGAAATTTAAAGGCAGTTGAGGTATAAGTGTTGTCAAAACACCAAACTTAGCCTTTAAATGCCCACGTACACAAAAATATGGAACTATCTCTTTTCTCTCAGGACATTTAAATGTTCCGTTGAACATACTGCTAAACATTTTAAAAAGAAACTGTTGATGATCTAGCATAAAGTCTAGCTGCACTACTTAAAGCCTTAATATTTTAAACTGTTTTAATAAATGCAAATTTACAAGACTGCTACCATGTAACTTGAAATAAGATTGTTCTTTGTTTTGTTTGGAACTTTACCAGGAGTTATTCATCATGTCAGAAAATCATGTTACTGATGGCAATGTCACTCATGCTATTTCCACTTCTGATAGAACACCAGCCCATCAAAGGCCATTTGCGGCTGCCACTTTCACTGCCATTACTCATCTGAGTGCATCTGACCATTTCATTTTCTTGTATAGTCATTGCCCCATGTTAATATGTTGAAATATATTATTTATAATAACTAACTTCTACTGACTTTCAGTATTTCTTTAGTTATAGCAGGGTAACATATATAATGATTTTTAAATTATAGCTAAAACTATGTCTAATGAGGAGAAGGTGGGTGCTATGAGAACTGGGCATTCCAGAACTTCCTCTGAGAGTTTTGTACACTACTCCCCCTTCTGGTATTACCTCAAGTGATGTTGCTTTCATGGTCCATAACTGAAATGACTTTTTGTATTCCTTGATTTCAAGATTCTCTATAATGCTTGTTCTCAGCTGGACTTATTGCTTGTCATATATAAAAACACATTAAGTAACAATCATTCTTTGAGTTTGATTCTTGTGGGAAGCAAAGCTCTGTTTAGAAAATGTGCACAGGAATTCTGGAGAGGTGATGGCATAAACAGACCACTGTTCCTGGCACAGGAACCACCAGAAAATGGTGCATATCTTAGAAGAACTGGGATTTGGGATGCAGAGGAAAGCAGCAGGGAACTGAAGATAGGCAAGAATAAACAGGTCACACAGGGTAGGACAGAGACCTCTCCAAAGTACTGAAGAGCAACGATTCAGTCTGGAAATTAAGGTGCACGTGATCCAGGCTATAATCTTTGCAATTACTTGCTATGCATCAGAGAGCTGGAAAATTACTAGAGATGATAGAAGTAGAATTGATGCCTTTGGGCTGTGGTGATAGAGAAGAGTACTAACTATATCACGGACAGTTAAGAGAATAAACACTTTCGTCCTGCAGAGGGTAAGACCAGGCTGCTCCTTGGAGAAAAGGATCCTGAAGCTTCATCTGGCATACTTTGAACATGTTGCAAGAAGGGACCAGTCCATGGAGAGGGATGTCATGGCTGGGAGGGTGGAGGGACAGCAAAGGAGAGGAAGACCCTTTATGAGATGGACTGATTCAGTGACTGGGTAATGGGGATAAGTGTGTCAGAGTTAATGATATTGGCTTTACTCCATCTGTAATTAAGATAGACTCTGCTTTGAGGAGGCCGCCCTTCCCCAGTCTCATTCTCAGTGCCTTCCAAGCTTCATTTCCTGCCACCCCTAGAGTAAGGGTAATTAAGGGTGGGGTCGATCCTGTGGAGCCTGCTCCAGGCCCTTTAATTGATTTTGGTGAAA